TGACTAGAATTGAACAGAAAACCTCACCTTGGGTTTAGAAGTGTAGGGCAGGAGGGCCCTGCCGGAACAGTCTGGGGTGTCGAGGGCCCCAGGATGTCCGTGAGAGAGAGGTCAGGTACCGAGGCAGCTGGCGTGTTGTCCATCTCGTGCGAAGTCGGGCGGCCGGGGAGTGGTTGCGAGGGCAGCGGCGAGGGCGGGCGGAGTGAGGCAGAGCCCCATTGTGCGCCCGTATTTATACGGCCCCAAACTGCCCGCGCAACGCCGCGGGACGCGCTGCGCAATTGTTTCTTTCTCCCCCGCCAGAAAAATCCCCGCTTGTGAAGCAGTGACCATTTGTGCGCAGTGCGATATGGGAGTCGTCGGGTTGCCGAGTGTTTCGACATGATCATACTTCATAGGATCAATTCTATAGTATGATTGCCGAGTTCCTTGTCCGAAACTTGGAAAGAATCACACTGTGATGATGTAGCTAAGTGCAAGCCTCTGAGCGCGAAGCAGTTCTAGGTCCCTGATCTAGGACTTTGATGACCGTTCATTCTCGGTTTACCGGGTGTGAGAAGGCTTGCACAGGCTGAGCAGTGAGATTCACAATCAACTGTGGAATTTCCATGGGTTTTTTGAATAAGGACGTTAGTCCGCTCCCGATGGGGAGTAACAATTAATACAACTCAAACCTATTACATATTATGACAAAATTTATTGTCAATATATTTACAACTACATAAATTTTATGTGGGATTTATTCAATGTAAATATTTTATTTGTGTTCTTCGGATTTGCATTTCTCTCCCCATCTCATGCTTACTTCTCTATTTTACATTAATAAAAGTCTCGAATTTGGTGTATATATAGATGCATTAGAATAGTTTGTGCAGAGGAGTTTAAATAGTAAATACAGTGCCAAGGCTTAACCAAGCTGAACAAGCTTGCTATTTTTGCGGGAAAGGTGTACGTGGTTGGTATTACCGTGTTACAGGTCTATAATACTACATATAAGTTTGTGCAGAGGAGTTTAAATAATAAATATAGTGCCAAGGATTAATCCAGTTGAACATGCTTGCTATATTTGCTCTAAAGATGTACGTGGTTGGTATTACCTTGTTACAGCCCACCCTCCTGTTTAGATAGTATGTTTTGTAATTAGGTGGACTGTCGTATATTATTATTATTATTATTACTATTATTATTATTATTATTATTATTATTACTATTATTATTATTATTATTATTATTATTACTATATTGACGTAAAAGGCAATTAGATATACAATTTGGTACTATGCACTCCTTTGAGTACAAAAACAAATAAAGCTAACAACCAAACATAAATAATAATAATCTAATAGAGCACATACATGTTCTTAATAGGTCTCAGATAGCACGTAATAGGCTTAGGAAGGATAGGTTAAGATAGTTTCTCTTTTTTATGGCAACATCAATGAGAAACCCTTTCCGGGTTTTCTTATTTGAATAGTACCTATTTTATACTTTCTGATTGCTGTTTAAGTCAATATGTGTACAATGTTTTTTATCGTTAATATAGGCAATACCTAAACAGCAGGATTGGCTGCTAGTAAACTTATTTAATTTTGTATATATAAATATATATATATATATATATATATATATATATATATATATATATATATATATATATATATATATATATATATATATATATTTTATATATATATACATATAAAGCGTCCCGGTAGTACAGTCGGGTTCATAGTCGATGCACAATCCAACCCGTCCTCGGACAATGTCCATTCTATCCAATGGTCGACCCCAAAGACACATTCATAAAATTTAACATGCTGTTCATTCAAAATAAGATATTTCTCAAATATATATTAATATGATTTTATATAAGCATATTGTGCATATTTAGACATGAATTAGATTAGGCTAGGTGTTTCGATTTCATTGGCGATTATTTTTATTTGTAGAACGTGGGTGAAACATTTACAGCATTGTGTTTCAAACAAATGTCGTCAGGAAAGCACTTGTTCCGGAAGTGTTCGGACGTCATCAATTGTTTGATGTGTGTAAACCATTTTTCATTCATAAACAGGGGGGTTTGGCAGGTGCATGGAATGGACTTTGGCCTTTGTTTATGAAGACAGGCTGCACAATCAAGAATTCCGGATTCAAATTCCTGGCGGGACAGAAATGGTTGAGCACATTTCATTTCACCTAATGCAACTGTTCACCTAGCAGTAAGTAGGTATTCAGGAGTTAATCAGCTTGATGTGGGGGTTGCATCGTTGGCGAGGTCAGTAAATCGACCTTTTGTCATGTACATCAATGACCTAAAGGAGAATATTACAAACCACGTCATCAAATTTCCAAATGCCATAAAGATTTATGGTAAAGTGGGAAATGATAATGATATCAAAACATAATAAAGAGATCTACATGAACTCCACAAATGGTCAGAAGACTAGCAAATGCTATTTTAATATCGACTCTTTAATATCGTTTCTTGCCCGAAACGCCTTGCGTAAAATAGTGGCTTCATTGATTGCGTAACTCCTGTCCCTACAATTGCATCTTACTCTTATGTTCTTTGTACACACATTCTTTTGAATAAACATTTGAATTTGTACAAATGCAAGACCTTGCATGTGGGGCATAGCAACCCACACCACAACTATCAAATTAATAACATTGCATTACAGCAGACTGCATGAGGAAGAAAAGGACCTTGGAGTCAAAATCTGTCACTCACTGAAAGTTGCACAACAGGTAGGAGCAGCAGTCATAACTAAATCCTTGGAATAATCAAGCATATCTTTGACCTTAATTACGGAAAAGAATTCAGTGATTCAATTGTATAAATCTCTGGTGCGCCCCCATTTAGATTACTGTATAGAGTAATCCAATAGAGCATGGAGACCTCATCTTCAGAAGGACATGGCTGCTCTGGAGAAAGTGCAACACCAGGCAACAAAAATCTCCTTCCAGTGCTAAGTTAACTCATGTATCGGGAATGGTTAAGGGCCACAGGGCCAATGATAAAGCAAACCAGGCATCACAGGGCAGATCTCATTGAAAATTAAAGTACTGAACAATTTGGAAGGTGTTGATCTGGACAATTTATTCAAAAGGTCAGATGTAACACAAACAAGGAGCAACGGTTTCAAGCTCAACAAGCCACAATGTAGGATTGAGAACAGGAGATGCTCTTTCACCCACAGGGTTATAAACTCGTGGAACAGCTTACCCACTGAAGCTGTAAATGCCAAAACAATGTTAAATTTTAAAATCCAACTGGAAAAGATCCTGAAGTCAAATGGGGTGACCTAGTTTCGAGGCCACTAGTGGTCTCAACAAGGAAAAAAGGAAACGAACATCATGTAATTCCTAATATATAATATTTAATTATACTAAAAAATCTATCTATATAAGTAAGTGGTATGCTTATGCATATTATTTCTACTAATTTTTGGCATAAACTAAATAAGAAGGATGACTGTTACTGCGTAGGTGCACAGTGCGATATAGGATTCCTAGGGTTGCAGATCGTCACATCATTATAATTCTTCATAGGATATTCTATAGTATTATTACCGAGTTCCTCTTCCAAAACTTGGAATAAATGACACACTAATAATGAAGCTAAGTGCAAGCCTCTGAGCAGGAAACAGTTCTAGGTCTTTGCATAGGGGGCTCTCTCAACCTCTTGGTCCCAGTCTTGGAAATATTTGTAGCACTCTCATCATGTCCTTCAGGCCTTGGGTCTGGTTAGGTTAACCATAGAGTGTCCTCTGGCAAGGAGCTCGTACTACGTGATCCTTCAGGTATTTACCACTTTCCAGGCCACGATGGGCGGCTGCTGGGAAAAATGGCCCCAAGAAGGGTGCTCCTCGAAGGTGTCCCGGAGCCAGGTCCACGCGTTGGCTAGGGTTGTTTGTAGGGGTCTCGCTTGGCCTGTGAAGTACTGCACTGGGAGTATCCACCTTGAGGGTTCTTCTTTTGGCTGGGTTGGTGCTAGGAGCTGAGGTCTGGAATTTTAGTTTGCCGTCTGCTGTGGTTAACAGTTATTGTGAGTATCCCCTCGTTTGCAACAATTCCCAGAGGTCTCTGAGTTAGGCCTCCAAGATGTCATCTTTGCTGTTTATGCGCTTCAGTCTGAGGCCCAAGGAATAGAGCAGAGAGTTCTTCAATGCTGAGGGGTGGCACGAGTCATACCTCAAGTATGTGTGTAGGTTGGTTGGTTTGTAATAGGCGCATGTGTGTGTAGGAGCCTATCCTCCTTCCCTATGAAGACTGTGGTGTCCAGAAAGTTGATTTCTGTTTTATTGGTTTCTAAGGTGAAGGAAAGGTTTGGTAAAAAAATCTTCTGTGTTAGCACCTTATTAAATCCTCTAATGGTGAGGTGGTAGGTGACTTGGATGAATGACATACATGGGGGTATTAATGGTGTCCTATATAATGGGGTTGTAAATTAAGAGTGTGACATGGTGGCAGTTTATGTTCTTCTGGTTGCTTCTGTTCCTGTTACAGGGTCATTCAGTCCTGCTTCTACATTGGCCCGGGGGTCTTGAAGTAGGTAGAGTGTAACTGTGTATTAGCTATTATTGATTGCAGCAATCAATAACCAGCTAATACTGGTTGGGTAATAATGCAGAGATTATAGGATACATTGAACATACATTCATATGAATTTGTTTCAAGTATACTGCACATTCTTGCCCAAAACGCTTTGCATAATAGTGGCTTCATAGATTGTTTAACTCCTGTACCTACAATTTGTACATTACTCATTTGTTCTTTGTACACACACATTCTTTTTGAATAAAATATAATTACATATTGTATTTGTATTGTATTGAGACATTCAGAAATTTGTCTTTTCTCGTATAGTGACAGTATATAGTGACATCTGCTGTCACTATGGTATAGTAACAGCAGATGGAGACTGCTTTAGGTAGCATACTGCACATGGTATTCAAATAATTCTGTTGATTCACAGGTAATTAAGATTAATACATAAATCAGTGTGTATTTTTTTATTATAGTTTGCAGGACATTCCATATCTCTATTTTAAATGATGAACTAGAAGCTTTTATGTAAATGTTCAAACACTGTAGTACCAATGGCTATATAAGGATTCTTCAGTCCAGTCAACAGCCAAATGTGTGGCTTTCGCTTCTTTGAGACTTTGAAGGAACTCCGACTGGATCATTTTAATTAGTTTGTCTGTCACAGTGTAGTCATCACCTGTGAGAATATTACAAGGTAAATTCCAGTAGCAATATGCTTGCTGATTATAATTAAAACCAAGTGAGGCTCCAGGTCATATGGTGCACTCTGCCAGAAAAAGTTAGCAATATATGGTTGTCTAGGGCAATTTGGATTAACTGCTGCCTGTAAAAATATTGCAAATCAAATGCAATCTCTTTCATTGATAACAGACATTTTCTATGGCAAATTCAACAAATATCCTTGGAATGGGGTGCATTTATCTAAGGCAGGGGTAGAAATAATATAAAATTTATTGGAGCTGACCATTTTTGAAATTGGTCATGGATTACCGTAACAGAAGATAGAGGTTTGGATATGTGCAGGGAAGGTGAAGGTTTGGGAATATTTTGTAGATGTTCTTGGGATTATGGTTGTGGCCAAGGGATACAAAAAACCAGCGTTGAATGTAATGAAACGCCATTTTCGGGGTGAGCCCCGGAGCTTATCGGGCTAATGTATGTTATGTTAGACCGGGACATTAGCTATGGAGTTCAGACCTACCAGGTACCAGTGCCAGAACCTGGCCCCTTCAGAGAGGTTTCAGGGAGCAATGGCCCTGGAAAACCTCATATGGTTGGGGGTTTTCCTTATCTGCCATCGACCGGGGTTAGGCACCCAGAAAAGTAGGTGGAACAAAACAAACCCCACATGGTAAGAAATTACAACAAAAACTGAACAGAGAGGTAGAAAACTCCCTACAATCCCAAGGAAAACAATCAAACAATTTACTACTGCGCCGGTCGTCCACGCAGACGACGCTGGTCCCGAAGGGAATAACGGCTCAGAAACTGGCACCAATGGCCCACCTCGACCAGCAGAACCCTGAACCCCTCCGAAACTGCCGAGAACGACCGCTTCAGAGAATCAACAAGTCTGCCATAGGACGACAACTAGACGAAGCCGCTTGCAGAAACTGAGAGACCGCAGTCTCTGCAAACAGCAACGGACAAAACGGAGACGAAAACCTAAGAGCCAGGGCCCAAGCAGATTCCAATGAGAGGACGAGCACAGCCTGACGGCACGCGAGGCGAGAAGCAAAAAACAGAGACACCGCTTCCTTCAGGATGGGCGCAAAGAGCTTCAACAGTGCAGCCGACGTACCCAAAGGCGCCCGGAACCGAACCCGGGGAGGAGCCGAACCCAAATCATACTCATACAGGAAAGAGGGTAAGAAAACCCCTCCCCCTGCAACAATATGCCCCGCAGGGAAGGCAAAAGCACCAAAGCGGGGTCACAGGGGGCCCAAGGCCCCCAGGTCGACTCCTTCCCAGCCCCAGGATCCCCCACGTCGGGACCTGGGGCAGAGCCATCCTCCAAACCTTCCACCTCTGAAGAAAGGCAGAGTCCAAGGGAAAGGCAGACAAGAAGGGGGTCTGCTGGCGGGACCCAGAAGCCTTGGCAGGAGGAACAGGCTCAAATGCCTCCGTCCCTGACCCGGATGGGGCAGCCCCCGAAGCAGCCCGAGTCTCATTACCAACTAAACCCTGTGCCGAGGCCGAAACCCTCAGATGTTTTGGAGCCTGTTACGACCCTGGGTTCCTCAGTGGAAACCAGAGGTCAAAATTGAGCTAAATAAACTGCCTTATAGTATTGGAAACGCATCACGAGGTGCATTTGTTTGTATTTTCCCTGCCAGACGTAAGACTATTCTTGTTTCTCAAAGAGCATTTAAAGACTGAGCTTGGGGTTGATTATTAAATAATAAAATAGGCACCAACTATGTTTACTAATACTTTCTAATCATTTGTAAAGTAAACCTGAGTAAACTTGGGATAGGAATGCTGTACGATTAGTTGAGTAGTCTGGTGGCAGCGATTCTACTGAGGGAGAAGAGTGGAGATGCGCTCTCTTCTCTGGCTGGCGTTGTGGTGAAAGGAAACCTCCTCCCCTTCCTCTGTTTCTTTATTTCTGTGTCGTTGTTATCCAATTTTAAATTCTCTACAGCTGTGTATAAATATAATGTCCAAAAGCCTAGCGTGACTCCCAACAGTAAAGCGTAAAGTCGGCAAAAACGCACAAAATCAGTAACATGTGCATTCTCCTTCCATTTTTTTACCTTAATACTCGTGCTACGTCGCTCGTTTTGGTATCATTGTGTTCGCAATTAAATTCCCTACAGATGTGTAAGAATAAAATGTACAAAAGGCTGGAGTGCCTCCCCGCAGAAAAGCCTAAAGTAACCCGTGAACGAGCACCATTTTGTACATTGCAACCTAATGTTCAACTCGTTCAATTTGATAACATCAAATTTCGTGCTAGGTCGCTCATTTTGGTATCAAATTGTTCGCAATAAAAAGGCGAGTATTTTAAAACTAGTCCCAGAATAATAGAACAATAACTGGATTTTTAACAAATATTTTAATTCTGGACGCTCATCATCACAAATTTATTTATATCTTTCCAGTGTTCTGACATAAATATTTGTGTTATTAAGTAGACTGTGTAGTATCCTCATTGTCTGGCATAAACGTGTTCTATGTGTAGAGTATTGATGTGTAGCAATTAGGTGTTCACTAGTGTTTATTTTTACCAGTTACTCTAGGGGGTTCCAGGGGAACCACGTGGGCTCCAGTGTTACCAGTAAGCTCCCTAGAGTCATTGCTAGTGTCCCTTGCCTAGTAGAACTTTACCCTAGCTTGTTTTCAGTGTAAACCTTGTATCCTGCCTAAGTGGACCAAGGCTTTTAATGTAAGGTAGTGTGGTAAAGTAATTATTATTGTTATTGGTGTGAATGTACATGGGGGGTTGTTAAGGGGTTAATAAATAAGTAAGTTAGTAAAGGAGTATCCATTCTTCCTGTGTAGGAGATCTATGATCAACCTCTAGATTGACATTGTGTAGCCAATTACGATTCACTGTGGATATTCCACTTGGGGGCCGGGCCTTTTGGATCTCCCATATTTGATAACTCTTAATGCTAATTACTGCCCCTACACCCATGTTATACTATATCCCCCATAGTACAGACTCCCATTTATAACAGAGCCGAACACAGGGGAGGGAGGTGCAGGAAGAACCACAGGGAAAGGACCAGGGGGCGCGGCTGGAGCCAAAGCCATAGCAACCAACGTCCCCAGGTCAGGGTCTCTAAAGCCAAAACGGGGCAGCCTCGGGCATCCGGGTGGGAAACCAACCTAACGCGTTGCAATAACCTTAACCTAACATGCAACGCTGATGCTGCCTGTACCCTAATAAGAACATCCTCAGAGTAAAACTGGAGCACAAGCAGAGAACATGACTCGCAAGACTCCGGGTCAAAGGTGTCATTGACCCAACAGGCAGCATGACAGAGGCAAAACAGGTGACTGTCACCCTGAGACAAGAGCACACTTCAACCTTCAAACCCGCACAAGGCAGGTTGGAACTCGGGAGACGCATCCATGGGTCCCCGAGCCCCGACAAGGGTTTCCAGGGCCCGTAGGTTAGCAACTACGGGAAGCCCAGGCAAGGTGTTGCTAACCGGTTAAGAAACCCAAACAAAACAAGGGGTAAATGATAATACTGAAAGCCCCTTGGGACGTGTACAAGCACGGGGGCCTAGCAGAGGGCCACCAAAACAATACAAGGGGAACTATGGACCCACGAGGCAGAACCTCCACCAGGCAAACAAAAACAAAACAAAAGAAAAACCCCGCAAAAGTACACCGTCCCCAGAGGCAACAGGAACTGGTCGCCGCTTAGGTGGCAGGCCGCGCAACACCTTGACGCCCTAACCAGCACAATACCACTCCCTACCCAAGGCCAAACAAGGGCCCCAAGCCCCAGCTGGCCCCAAGGGTGAGGCAAATGCCGAGCAGCAAGAACATCTATGGGAGCAGTTCCCGAATGCCCCAGAGAAGATAACCCTGACACGCAAGGGCGGTACTCACAGGGCGCCTAGGGAAGGAAGCCCCTAGGTGCATGCAGCCCCGGCACTGATGAAGTACTCCTGGCCACCGCACACCACACAAAAACAGCAGAGAACTCCACATGAGGCAAACACCGCCCAGGAATTTGAGGCCAGAGAAGCGTCTATCCCGGTTGACACTAGCTTGTGAACTTGGCAGGCGGCGTGGTAAGGTCCGGGGCCCCCCCCCCCCTCTCCTTCGCGGGGAGGGGAGGGCCTGCGTGGACAACCGGCGTGGCAGTAAACTGATTGTTTGATTGTTTTCCTTGGGATTGTAGGGAGTTTTCTACCTCTCTGTTCGGTTTTTGTTGTAGTTTCTTACAATGTGGGGTTTGTTTTGTTACGCCTACCTTTCTGGGTGCCTAACCCCGGTCGATGGCAGATAAGGAAAACCCCCAACCATATGGGGTTTTCCAGGGCCATTGCTCCCTGAAACTTCTCTGAAGGGGCCAGGTTCTGGTGCTGGTCCCTGGTAGGTCTGAACTCCATAGCTAATGTCCCGGTCTAACATAACATATATTAGCCCGATAAGCTCCAGGGAGCCGTAGGGGCTCCCCACAGAAAACCAGTGTTGAATGTAATGAAATGCCATTTTCTGGGTGTGACCCAGAAGCTCTCTGAGGCTATACCAGGCTGATATGCTATTGTCAGACTTTGGCATCAGTCATGTGTATGGAGTTCTTAGGGACTACCGGGGACCATGACCAGAACCTGGCCCTCTCAGAAAGGCAAAGGGAGCAATGGCCTATAGAAACCCCCGTGTGGTTAGAAGCATTCTATGTCTGCCATCGACCGGGTCAAACATCCAGAAAGGTAAGCATCCCTAAACAAACCCCTATTCTGATGAAAATTTTTACCAAAAGTTGAACTAGTGGATAGAACTCCTCAACAGAAAACAAGCAAACAAATATGACGTCACACTTCACTGCGCAGCTGTCTGCGCAGCTCCCCCCTCCCGGGGAGGGGGAAGGAGGAGGCCCAAACCTCTCACGCGGGCTATCCACACATCAGTTCTGAGGCTGGATGTCAAAACACGCGAAAAAACGCCGACCGGAGGGAGGGAGGGTTGCCGTGGAGTCTCCGGGTCACA